TGAAATTCGACTTTCGTCGCTAGAAGCTACCGAGAAGCCTTTCTCATTAGTGAATACAACTTCTTGTTTCAATGATATTCGTTTTTCGAGCGCGTTTCTCAAGTCTTCAAGTGTGTAAAGATTTTCTAGAGGCAGAAAAAGAGCCTTCGTTGTATCGATAACGATGGATACAGAACAGTCGTTCTTAGATGGTAAGACAGGCTCAGCAGATTCTTGGTCCAATGGAGTATATTTTGTGGATTGTTTTCGTCGGCCGTGCATGAGATAACAACGTTTCAATGTCGTTTCTAAATGAAATATTAAGTGTTCTCAGAGTTCATCTTGCAAGATCTACTATACGTTCAAAGTGGTTCTGATAGTCAAGAAATGATCGATATTTTCTTTCAGAAAGATTCGTATTGTAGTACTTGATGAGGTTCTTTGTATGTCTGCAGCGTGTCTCAGCTTTGAAATAGATACGACCATGATCTTTATATTTTTCTCACTTCTTTTTACCATGGAAAATTCCAACTCAAGGATGTGGATAGGTGTGGAGAAGCATGAAGATAAGACGCTTCTATCCACGCCTACACCTACTTGCAATCCGTACTTCTTCCCACTAGTATGTAGCAAAAATAGTCCTACTATCCAAAACGAAATAAATCATGCCACTAGAACAAACTTGTCGATACGGTTGCTACTATGTTTTCAAAATTACGAAAAATGTTGTTTCACCCACGTTCGAAATTAGATTCACTTATAGGGAATTCTTCCCGACGAACAAAATGGATTTCATCCTGGTCACAATATGACTGCTCGCATGGTTGCTATCATCAATCAAATCGGACAGAGTTAGGTGAAGAATGATGTTCCTGTTACTCTCTTTTTGAATTTCAAGCGACCCTCAACCAGCTGTGGTACAAAGTGCAATGACTCACGTTGAAACGATTCCACTACCCCTTGTGAATAATTATGTGCTTCCGTAATTACTTTTTTGAACGATCTATACTCATCGAAATCAAAGATGTTCAATCTCAGATCCTTATCATATACAATCAAAAGTGTTTCTCGAGGAAGCTGCATCAGACCAATGCTTTTTATCGTATACTACTATGAAATAATCGAACAGTGAAAATTTCTGAAATTTACCAAGACGTGAGAAAATAATTTCTAAGTAACTTCAGCAATCCTTCATATACCACAAAGAACTTCCAACGTAATGTCGAAAATTGCTCCGGTACAAGAAGGCAATTTCCAAGTAGTTTTCCTAATCACTATCGTTCCACCGAAAATTTCCTAGTCACGCTCAGAAATTCGAAACATCCTCAAAAATGCTAACCAGAAAACTACCAGAAAATAATGCAAAATACAAATATTTAAGCGAACAATGGCAGTGACAAAACAATATTACCATCACATCAGAATGCTTTTTTCACGCAATTTCGGAGAATACTAAAACATGAAAAAATATTTCAATAGAATTCTTGCAGAATTTTCGATGATTACCAGAAAATTACAGAAGCAACAGAAATTTCCATCATTTCTTTGCGTTCAATGTATAGAAATTAAGGAATGAATATACAGAAATACATAACCCTACGGCTAAAAACTGTTAGAATTTCCAGAAATACCAGTACTTACTAGCAAATTACTGAGAAATTATGGAAATTTACGTAATTTCATTGGTTTCCCTATTAATTACCGAAATTTTTGAAAATTCTAACAATTTTTAGTGGTAGGTCCTCTGTTTTGCTAGGTTTATTCCGTAATCTCTATATATTGAATGTAAAGAAACTATGAAAATTTCCATAGTTTCTGTAAGCTTCTGGTAACTACCCAAATTCTCCAAGAATTCTATTGAAACTTTTTTCATTTTTTCATGTTTAAGTATTTTCCAAAATTGTGTGAAAGACTCATGCTGTTGTAGTAGAGTTACCGTTATTTTTCTGATAGGCGTTGCTTTGATGTTAATATTTTTTATATTTTCGTGGAGATTTCCCGGTCATTTTCTCTGTAGATGCTTCATTTGGTGGATAGAATCTAAAAACTTTCCTGAGGTATATGAAAAATAACCGAAAATCGAGAGGTAAATGGTGGAACCCTGGAATTCTATGAATTTCTTGTGAAATGTTACAAAATTTTCTGGAATTCTATAGAATTCGGAATTCAGAATTCCCTTGGATTCCGTAGAATTCCGCAGAATTCCAGTATTCCAGGATTCTGATGTTTATTCCTTGCTGAAAACTTTTGGGAATTCGCTTCTTATGTATTGGTAAACTTCGTAAAATTTCTGTATTTTTATTTGGTTGATTCTGTATGATCTATGATAATTTCAGAAATTTCTGACATTTCCTTTTCCGAAAATCCGAATATATCTCCTGAAAACAGAAAATTCTCAAAGAGTGTGCGGGTGTGAGTGTGACACTATAGAAGATATATACCTACACTCCATACTCCACGCCTACACTCGCAACGTCTACACCCTCAGGCTTACTGCCACAAAATGCGAACAAATCGAAGCGCCCTAAACGATTGTCTAGAACATAAGGTAGCAATTATCACTCTATAGGAGTACTACTCAAACCCAAGACTCACAAAAGGAAAGAAGACAACCTTCGGAATAAGAAGAACTGTAAAAAACGCCAACAATCTGCTGGAATGTGAAAAGCCATCTCTGACCGACCAATTCATCTGCTTTCAACCCGCGATTCAACCGATTTCTTCTTACCTTACTTCCTTTTTTTTGTTCTTTTCTTTTCTTCTCTCGTGTATAACGATCTTACAATATTCTTCCTTTATTTGCCTATATAAGCTTTATTTGTCTTATCCGTTTGTGCACTCATGTATTCTACTTACTATTTTCTCTCTTGATTGTAGATTTTTCTTCGTACTAGAGAAAAATGTTCGACTGATAACATGCTTTAGTTGCTTAAATGTCATTAAACGTATGTCAATAGGAAAGGGAGAAGTGATATTGATACAGAACAGAAAAGCAAAAGAAAGAGTAGATACCATCGAGATCGAAAAAAAATCAAGGAGAGAAAAAAGTCTATGAAAAAGATTGGGGTGGCACTTTATCTTTATTTAACTTGGAAAAAGCCAAGGAAAGTAACTCAACTTTACTTTACGAGGTAAAGTAATGATAAATTGTCACCCCTAAGAAAGATTCTTTATGTTGGAGAATAAAAATGTGATGGGTCAGAAACTCCGACTGAAGCATTTGTTAGCGATGCAGCACAATGCAACATAAACATCATTGTATTGCTGTCAGCTAACACGGTATGGTTTGAATTCTACGTAAGATTTTAACCAGGAAATCACGAATCATTATCTACAAGAGACTTATACTTTTCTGTTCTTGCAATGAACATCTCTGATTTTCATGGAATTTGATTGAGGGTGTGGGTGTGGATAGATGCGGATGCTGTTTCCTCCACACACCCGCCCACACCTACACTCTTTGTTCAAATTTCACGAGAACACTGTTCAATGTACTTTGAATAATATCAATATTTTATTTATAGTTCTAATATGTTGTAAAAAATACTTTTTTTGTCATATGACATCAATTAAAGCTTTGTGAAGCAAGTTATTTTATATGCTAATGTGTTCGTGATTTTATTATGGACTTTTTTCAAGTGATGTCTAACAGAGTTGATGTAATAAAAAGGTAAAACAATGAAGTACCTATTTATAATTGTAAGATAATTGTATCTGAAGCAAGAATAATATTTTGTTTAATAGGATGATTCTAATGATAAAAATGAACTTTTTTAATATATTCTTTTTGTACAATAGTTAATATCTGTCTCATTACTTTTATAAATACTTTTATAAAACAAATCATGAATAAATTTTAAAAAAAAACAAGCAGAAATAGATCCATTTGATGATCATATCAATCGTCTAGTGTTATATTCGATCAGCAGAGTCTCAATAAATCACAAGTTTAACAATTCTATGCCTTGTTTCTATTTGTATTAATGTTTTTTTCGGTTGAAAATATATAATTTCTAGCATAGATGTTTATTGCAATAGTCACAATAGGATTTTTTTTGTGAACCTTTCATAATTATCTACCATTAATTAACATAGATTGTATTTATAATGATGGTCATGAAATCATGATCTGTCAATACAGAACTATGATTTACTCTATTCAAATTTCATCAAATAAAATAATATGTCATTGTACAAATCACGTATTGATTGCTTTTAAGTACAGACACGATTGTCCAAAGATAGAGTAATGTTTTATTCATCGATCTATCATACTATTAAAAGAAAACGAAAAACTTATTTCTCTTCTTCATTTGCCTATAATTGACAATACAGGTATGCAACTGTACAAAAACATGATTTGTCTTGAAGACACAAGAGTAATAAGAAAATATTTCATAAGCAATAAACCGAATTCGAGTCTATTAAAAAACAAAAAACTGATTTATTTTCTTATTTGCTATTCTTTCTAGTAATTTAGTTATATGCGGATAAGATTCGATTTTTTGTATAAATAATTGAACAGATTTATTACATCGTTTTATGTTAAACTAGTATGTTATTTTATTTGATAAAATTTTTGGATAAAAATAAACTATAGAGTTTAACGAATGTTTTTTTTCAATATAATCGATAGTTGTGTCAGTAAGCTGAATTTAGAATTAAATAGTTAACTAATTTTTATTTTCTAAATCAATAGAAAATTAATGCACTCAATTGCGTTTTCTAAACAAACTAGAAAGTTATTCAAATCATCGTTCTTTTTCTCTCCTCCTACTATTTTCTATGACGAAGAAGAAATTTGTTCATATTCACCTTTCTCATTAGTAATATGTATTGACAATTCTTAATGACAACACAAGACATGTGTATATGTTAAAAATGAAGGATGAGCATAAGCAGATACACCCGGTTTTTTTTTCGTCGGTGAAAGAACAACAAAAAATACCGGCATGACACTACATGTGATCGAAGAAAGAGAATCAACGAATATTTCTTTCTTTATAAATAGAAAACAAGTAATGTCAAGAAAAAAAAGTCAAAATATTATTACAATACCACATGTTAACATCGTATTACTTATTGTTGGTACAAGAGGTGATGTTCAACCATTTGTTGCATAAGTTATCATATCCATGAATTAATTGGAACGAATAAAATATAACATTCTTCCTTTAGTTTTTCTTTTTTTAAGTCTCGGTCGTGTACTTTTAACAGCTGGTCATCGTGTTCGTTTAGCTACACATGAAACATTTCGTAAATTTGTTCGTGAAAATGGTTTAGAATTTTTTCCATTAGCTGGTAATCCAGCTGATTTAATATCATTTATGGTAAAAAATTCAGGTATTATTCCTTCAGTAACTAGTATTACTGCAGGTAATCTACTAAAACATCGTCATGTTATAACTGATATTCTTACATCAACATGGCATGCTTGTACTATTGAAGATGATGAAACAGGTAAACCATTTACAGCTGAAGCTATTATTGCTAATCCACCATCATTTGGTCATATACATTGTGCACATAAATTACAAATACCTCTACATATTATGTTTACAATGCCATGGTCACCAACAACTGCTTTTCCACATCCATTTGTTACAGTTGATTATTCAAAGGCATCCGTGGAAAAAGTTAATATGTTATCCTATAGTGCTGTCGAAATGTTTGTAAGCAAATGAAAGACATATTAAAATATGATTTTGTTTTACTTTTTTTTTGAATAGGCTGGGTGTGTGTGTGGGTGGGGTGTGGGTGG